ATAATGCACGAGGGCCGAGGCTGGACAGGAAAGCTTCCGACGAACGTCGGAACAAGGAAACTCTGCGGCGAAGTCTCGACGTCGCTCAGAGAGGGGCTACCAATCACCGACAGCGCGCAGGGGACTTGCAGGAGGAACTGGGAAAGTTGCTAGCGGCAAGCTTGCAGCCTGAACGGCCTACCTCCAAAGGGCAGGGCGAAACGTTGTCTCTGAATTCCTCGAACAGTTCTTGCAGAGTAGAGCGACGCGTTAGATGGACAGGTCTACGTCTGGAGTCGACAGCGGCGCCGAAGACGAAACTGTCAACTCCAACGGTGCGCGTAAGCTGCGCAGAGGGGCGGGCTGCCTTGCGCCGTGCTCTTGAACACATGGAGCGGGATGGGCGCAGCCGTGGCGAGAAAACATGCGCCCGTCCAAATGTTTACACGCCTCACACACAGTTTTGTTGAGGCCCACGCTCGGATCCAAGAAGAGCGCTGTCATTCTTGCGGCCGCTGGCGCCCGCCATCGAAACAGTGGTGGCTTCGGAGCAATCCGACAGTTCGAGAGTTCCATGCAGAATAGATCCCCATGGGTCAGGAGAATAAAAACACACAGACACAATGAATCGTCGATTCCCAAGAAAAGATCATGAAATATTAGAAGTGGGGGGGGGACGACGAAAATAAAAACGTAGGACGTATTGCGGAATCCGGAGATTCGTGCGCAGTCATTCGCGTGTCCCTGGGCGCTTTTCACTGTTACCCTGTCGAGGCCGCGGTGCCCTCCCCGAACTGAAGACTAGTCAAGCCGAGCTCAGGGTCGAAGGGTGCGCCCCGGGCAGCGCGGCGCACCAGTCGCGCTAAGCTAACATTCGGAACGGATCGCGGGAAGGGCTTCGGAGAGAGCCGTGCGATTTCCGTGCGATTTTGATTTTTTGAGTCCCGCGCCCCCTCGGGCAGCGAAAAAATCACGACGGGAGGTTTCTATTATTTTCCGCCTTTTGCAGGCCCTTTCCAGCCCTAGGGACCGTCAAACAATATCTCAGGATGGAACGCTGGTCCAGGGGGCATGGGTCGAGACCTCTGAGGGTCGACGTGATGACAAAAATCACGACGTCGGAGGTCTGGGCTCCATGGTGCACAGCGCAGTGAAAGACGCCTCGATGGCCGGCCCAATGCTGGCCGAGGTCCACACATTGATGGGGGATCGTGAGTTCGTTGCTGGCAGAATTTGCCATCCATTACAGCGCGAGCGCGGCGTTTGAATGCATGTCGCTCAGACGGGGCAAAAGCCTGGGGATAGATGGTTCGTCGAGAAAATACACGATTCCGACGAGTACATCTGCGATTCCGAGCCACGGGAGAAGAAACCAAACAAAAAAAAACTACCCGAAAGAGCGTCGCGCCCCAAAGGACACATTCGGGGCAAGGTGCGCCTGTGGAGCGCGAGGACAGCTGCTGGGTCAAGGAACATGTGTTGTGGTTCCTGCGTCAGTGTTCTCACGCTGTCTCCAATTCGGGGGACTGCGCTCGGCACTCTGGCATCTTGAAACAGAGGAAGGTAGACAGGCATCCTCAATCCCGAGGCGATTGCCACGCGCATTTTCTGCTGGGCCGGTTCGACTCCTGGAGAGTTCCAGATAGCGACGCAGAAGGCATAACAGATGAATGGTCGCATGGCTGCCTACCGGCGCGAAGCGATATTTCGTGGACGATGCCCTTCCAGCAGCTGGCACATCGCTGCTTGCGCGGAGGAATGGCGGCCCCCCCCCTTCGCGCGAAGGGCGGAGTCGTCGCGCGGTCTTGCGCTTGCGTTGATGTCCGAGGCTGCATGCCAGGAAGTGCGCAGGTCCGCGGACGGGGGGCCATCGGCACCGGGGCGCCCCGTCACCGCGACCGCAGAACAATTCAGTGCCCACCGTTTCTATACCACAAAGCAGAACGTTGAATCTTTCGCCGCCTGAGGGGAGCCCCGCGGCGGCGCCCTCGCGCGTTCCGACGCCGAAACAAAGGGGGAGCTCTGGCATGATATTTCTTCGAACGGCCGCCCCGCGTCAGGAAGGTCTACTTTCGGTCTGCAGAGCTTGTCCAGGCCCGACGCTGAGGGCGCCGAGATTCGGATGGTTCACGGCGCTGAAGCACGCGCGTGCTGCGAGCCCTTGCCGGGGCCTGGCTGGCCGGGAGATCCTCGCGCGCAAGAGCTGTAGTTTTCAGGGAGGGGGCTCCCGCGCATGATGCGGCGTTCGACGGTGCGAAAGTAGGATGACTGAGCGCGTGCGCTTGCAGCTCCACAAGGCTTCGCCCATCCCCCAGGGCGAAGTCCAGCTGCGCTGCAGCGCTGGAAGGGCGACTGGCAGGCGAGGCGATCTGGGGCAAGGATTGCCGCGCCTCGGAAGGGCGGCAGATCCAATGGAAACGGCTCCGTGGAGACGCCAGCGCGCTTTTTTGCGTCGCGCCGCGAATGCAGCCGGCTGCGACTAGGAAAATCTGCGCGCCCGCGCTGCAACGAGGTTGCCGAGTGCACCCGCTCCCGCGGGGCCCAGAAGTCGAATGCGCCGCAGACTCGATGGTCGCGAACCTTCAGATCCACGCCGCCCATGGCAATTTGGCCGGCGTGCGTGGGCTGCCAGGAATCATATTTATTTGACTTTTGACGAGGTCCTCGTTGGCCGAAAAGACGCAGATGGCTCGCCAGTGCTCAGGGCGTCTACAGAGGGGTAGAGAAGCAGCCGTCGTTTTCTGACAAAGCGCGCGTCAAGGTGACCAACCTAGGAACAGGCGGCGCTCCCTGCTGCGAAAACCGATCCCCGCCGCGTTGGACTGACATGTTCCTCGTGCGTGCGTCGCGGGCGGAAGAACGAGTTTCGCCCCCATCGAATGGCCCGCGCCCATTTCGGGACTTGTCGCGCAGGGCAGGAACACAGATTCCCCGCGAAGACGAACTTCATTGCCGAGGCATTGGCAGCGGTATGAATCCCCAACGCAGTGGAGAAAAGCGCCCGCGTGCATCTGGCTGGCAGCGCGGCGCGGCGGAAACCGTCCGACGTGGACTAAGGCCCCGGAGCGATCAACGATGCGATCGTAGAAGGGTCGGACCGCGCCCGGGCGGAAAAAGGGCGAACAACGACCCCAGGCTTCGCGCCGCAAGTTCTTCGTGAACGCGGAGGATCTCCGTTGTGACCGCGGAGATTTTGAGCGCGTGTGTTGATTTTGTCGCGACGTACAATGGTGGGCAGGTCGACCCGGTGCTGGGGGGAGCTACGTCGCGGTTCAAGTGCAGGAGTTGCGCGACGAAAGATGGCCCGGCGATTGCGTTGTGGAGAAGGCTTCGTTGATGGGCCCGCGGTCTTCGCCCCCGCCAGAAGGCGCAGTGCCATCTGTTTACCTTGCCGTGATCCACATGAGGCGTCTTTTGAGCACCCTCAGCAGAGACTGGCCCCATGGCGGGGTTGCGGCGCCCGAAGACGCCCGCGACAGAGTTCGCCCCGCAAATGCTAGCGAAGCGCGGCGCGCCACGATGGCCAAGCCAATGGTAAAGAGTTCCCCTGGCGCGAAGCCCCCGCCCCCCGTCGATGTCGAGCGCGCCGCGGCCGCGCCCGCGGCCGGCGGGCCCCGCCCGCCCCCGCCCCCCCCCCCCCCCCCCTCCGCAGAAACGGGCGATGCCTCTTCGTGCTCGCAAGGGGCCGACACCCAAGGCCAGGGCCGCGACGAGAGCAGAGATGCGGGCAATGGGGCGAGGTCCCCTTGCAGGCCCGGCGGCCGCTGGGAGGGCGACGAACAAAAAGGATCGCGAAAAGGGCGCATAGTTATTGTGCGCTCGAGACCGTGATGCTGGCTGGCATCGATGGCGATGGCGACTGGACTTTGAATGGTCATAGCAGGTGCCAGGAAGTTTGTGGCGCAAGCGATTGCCACTGGCGCTCGGGGAGTGGTTGGAGCGAAGATGCAAGGGATTATGAGATCTGCGTCGTGGAAGAACGAGCGCGGCAAGTCCTCGTTGGACTGCGGCTCCGAGGAGCCATGGGGCAAGGGGGACCAGTATGGCGGCGGTGACTGGCGTGAGAAGTGATCAAGGTCGTCGCGAGACGCGACGACGCCTTCGCCGCCGAGCGATCAGCGCTGGGGTGCCCCGCGGGCCCGTCGAATAACTTCGGGGCCCGTCGGGCCCCAAGCAAGCAGTTTTTTTTCGGCAGGTGGGCTTTGCAAAACTGCTTCCGGACGGTCCCGGGCGCGGCGCGCCGGAGGCCGGCGCGCGCGGGGTCGGCTGCCCCAGTGCCCGTCGCGGGGGCGAATCAATTCTCGCCTGCGTCGTGTCATCGCGCATCTGTGCACGGCGGGCGTTTGGCCCAAACCGTTTCTGCACAAACCGTTTCTGCATTCCGAAGGAGGAGGTGATCGGCGAACCCGACGGGAGCGGTGGCCGCGCTTCGTGGGTGGTAATAGAGGATCACCGCCATGTCGTCGATCAACCCGAAGTGGCAGATCATGAACAAGATCCCCTTGAGTTGGTGGAAGATTGAGCACGTACACGATGTGGGTATAGTAGCTTCCGCGAAGATAAGGTGGAACATCCCGCCAACAACAGCATTGATAAGTTTATAGATCGTTACCTTTTTGCCCGATGGCCATCATAGAACGAAGAACAGCTGATCGCGCTTGTTTGGCCAGGTCTTGCGAGGGATCGTGGCCTTGGGAGCTAGGCGTCCGCTGAATCCATCGACGACTACTGTGCGACCGCACGAATTGCAGCATGGTGGTGGGACTCGGCGGCCAGTCCGGGGGGAAGTGAGAGGGGGCAATCCTTTCCAAACGATAGCGCGGTTCCCTCGCGCATTATCAGCAGTTTCCGAAGTCTTCTCCGAAAACACGCGCGGCTTCTCAGATGGCCAAAAGGATTCTGAAACACCCGCCGTTTTCTAGGAAGGCTGGCCACTTTTCATTTTCCCCCCGGGTTCGCCGCCGAGACGCAGTCGCCATGTCAAGCGGATGGACCCCCTTTGTCCCCCCGTTGTGCCGAAGGCCCTACTGTTCGGCGCGTGGCTGCGCGACGCATGGTCCGAGGCGGCGGACGCGATGTCGAGGCCGCTCCTTTGGCTCCCGGGCGGTGGATGACAGAGCAGAAAGAAAGGCGGCGACCATGTTTTTACAATTTCTCGCTTTCCTCGCGCCACAGCTGGATCCGCGTTGCAGTTCTAGTCAGAGCACGATCGCTGAGAAATGGGGCTGCCGTCTGTGAGGGGATACGAGGATCCATACTTCCACACATGACGAGAAACTCCAGGCGAGATGGACGGACGTAGTGACGGCCAGCTATGGAAAAGAAACGTGAAGCCCAATGTTGTTTTGCTTCACGCTGTTATGTATTGTTTTGCGTGTGTATCGTTCGCTATGCACTTGCGCGCTAGTGTTTATCAATGTGCGCTTCTCGGTCGCGCGTTTTTTTTGTTTTTCTCTCTCTCTCTCTCTCTCTATCTCTCTAGCTATGTGCGTAGCTCTCGCTACATATCTGTATATACATACATGCGTACGTACATGCATACATACACACGTCACTCCATATCAGTGCGCTTATGTTCGTGCGTGTTTTTGCACTCGTGCGCAGATCGAAGGCGCCTACGGCGAATTCATGCCGCCCACTTCCGTTTGGAACCGCCTATGCGACCGAACGTTGTTGCCAGAGCTCGGCCACGCTATCGGATCGCATGTCCCCCCAGCCGTTGTGGGAACCCTTCGGTTAGCATTTTGGGGAGAAAGAGGACGAGGGAAGAAAAAGAGGACAAGTTGGACGAGGAGGACCCTTGGAGCTTTTGGGGCACTTTTGGGACTCCCGGCCCCCTTCTGGGGGCCTTTTGAAGGCCTGTTGGAGACTCCTTGGGCGGCTCCTTGACCGTGTGAGGGCGTTCCTGGCCCTTCTGACGCCATCGGAATCCGTTGGGGGGAGGCCTCTCTGGCCGACGTGGGGCCTTCTTGGGGGGCTTCAGGGCCTTCTTGGAGGCTATCTTGAGCATCTTGGAGGTCTCCTTGACCGTCATGGGGCCGTTTCGGGGTTCTCTTCGGCAGTCAGGGGTCCTCTTGAGCCGTCTGAAGCCCGAAAATGAGCAAACGCAGAAATCTCTCAACAGCCTGAATATCAATAATTGTGCCCTCTTCGGCCTTCCAGGAGGTCCTGCTGAACGCCTCGCGGGCCTTCTCGAAGACCTCTTGGGCCGTCTTGGAGGTCTTTTGGGCCTTCTTGGGCGATCTATATTCGGCTTGTTGGGGAACATGCTAGCCCGTTTTGGAGACATCGCGGGGCCATGTTCGGCTCTCTCAGGGCCATGGTTGCCGTCTTGGAGACCATCTTGGCCATCATGGGCGGGAAAACCGATGACCCGGGTGTTTGGCTGAGCTTTTCGGGTAGCCGGCGAGATGGGCCGACGGCCCATTGGGAATTTTCGCAAAGGATTAACAACAACCTAGCATTTGGCACGCCGTGCTTCCTTGTGGCAGGCCAATCGGGGGCGGCGGATCGAAGACGCCTACGGCGAATCACCGCCGCCCACCGCCTTTTTGCGCCTACGTGGCCGAAAGTTGGATTTGAGCTTGGCCAAGCTATCGTGCCACGCGTTCCCCGAGTCGGTTGCGAAAGCCTTCGGGGAACACGGAGTCGGGCGAGCTATCGCACCAGGTGGTTTCCGAGTTTTCGGACCTTCCTGGAGGACGTCTTTGAGGGGTCTTGGGCCGTCTTGGAGGCCTCTTGCGGGCCTTTTGGCAGTCTAAGGCCATCTTCAGGCCATCTGGGGCCGTCTTGGGTGCATCTTGGGGCCATCTTCGCCGTCTTGGAGGCCTTCTTGGCCGTCTTGGAGGCATCTTGGAGGCCATCTTGGCCGTCTTGGAGACCACCTTCGGCGTCTTCGGGGCCATCTTGGGCCGTCTGGGCTCTTCTTGGGACGATGTTGGGGGCCTCTTGGGCTGTCATGGGGCCATATCGGAAGCCTCTTGGGCGCTCTTGGGACGATGTTGGGGGCCTCTTGGGCCGGGCCGTCTTGGGCCGTCGGAGAGTTGATAATAAGAAAATACCAGAACCCTTCAAACACCTAAGGGCAATCAATGATTGTTGAGGACGTCGTGGGCGCTCTTGGGCCGTCTTAGACCATCCTGAGGACATCCGGGGCCGTCTTGGGTGCATTTTGGGACCACTTCGGCCGTCTTGGAGGCCATCTTGACCGTCTTGGAGGCATCTTGGAGGCCATCTTGGGCCATCAGGGTGGTTCTGAAAGCCATCTTGAGCCGTCTTGGTGGAGTTTTTGGGAGAATCATGCGAAGCCCCAGGGGGAGTTCTTCTGGGAAAAGAGCCAACACCAAAACCGCGAGGATTCAGCACGCCAGGCACCCTTGTGATGAATCAAGGGGCGGCGGATCGAGAACGCCTACGGCGAATCACCGCCGCCCCCTGCCTTTTTGGAAGCGCCTATGTGGCCGAACGTTGATGCCAGACCTGCCAAGCTATCGGACCATGTGTTCCCCGAATCGATTTGGAAAGCCTTCGGGGAACACGTGGGCATCTTGAAGGTCATCTTGGCCGTCTGGAGGCCATTTTGACCCTTTCGGGCCTTCTTGGAGGACGTCTTGGAGGGCTCTTGGGCCGTCTTGGAGGCCATCCTGAGCGTCTTCGAGACCGCTTGGGCCGTCTTGGGGGCCTCTTGGGACCGTGTCTTGGGCCTCTTGGGCGAACTTTGGGGGCACTTGGGGCGTCTCGGGCCGTCGGAAGGCAGAAAAATAAACAAATGCCACAATCCTTCGAAAGCTCGAGGGAAATCACTGATGTTGGATTTTTCAGGCCTTCCTGGAGGCCCTCTTGGAGGCCGCTTGACCCGTCTTGGGCCAGCTTCGAGCCAACTTCGGCCGTCTTGGTGGGCTCATGGCCCGTCTGACGCTGTCGGAAGCCGTTTGGGGGGCCCCTCTGGGCCGATTTGGGGCCCTCTTGGGGTGCTCCAGGGCCGTCTTCTTGGAGGCCATTTTGGGGGTCTTGAATGCCTCATGGGCCGTCTTGGTGGCCTCTTGGGGCCGTCTTGGGAGCCTCTTGGGCCGTTCTGGGGCCTTCTTGGAGGCCTCTTGGGCGATCTTTGGGAGATCGTTGGGGGTTCTTGGGCCGTCTCGGTCCGTCGGACGGCCGAAAAGACGCACATGTCAGAGTCCTTCGCAAACCTCAGGAACATGAGTGTTTCGACCTTTTCTGGCCTTCTTGGAGGCCCTCTTGGAGGCCTCTTCGGCCGTCTTGGGCTAGCTTCGGGCAAACTTCGGCCATCTTGGTGGGTTCCTGCCACGTCTGACGCCGTCGGGAGCCGTCTTGGGGGCCTCTCTGAACCGGGGGCGCTTCGGGGCCCGCATCCTAGCTATCCCTCCATGGGTGGCTGCGACACGTGAAAATACGTAGGTTCCTAACGCCCCAGGGCGGGAAGAGCGTGAAACCACGTGGGTTCCTAACGCCCCAGGGCGGGACAAGCGTGAAAACACGTGGGTCCCTAACGCCACAGGGCGGGCTAAGCGTGAAAGCACATGGGTTCCGAACGCCCGGGAGCGGGACGAGCGTGAAAACACGTGGGTTCCTAATGCCTCAGAGGCCGCCCCAGGAGGCCCCGGGAGGCCTCCCCAGGGCCCCAGGACGGAACGTGTCAAGTTATTACACATCTGGTGCCGATTCGTTTACGTTTTCTTGCTTTTGTGTTTCCCCCCACTGTTGGGGGCCGAGACGACCGCATGCTAGCTATCCCCCCATGAGTGGCTGCGACACGTGAAACTAAGTGGGTTCCTAACGCCCCAGGGCGGGGAGAGCGTGAAAACACGTGGGTTCCTAACGCCCCAGGGCGGGACAAGCGTGAGGATGTCTCGAGCGAGACGCTTGGTTTCACGCCTCCAGGTTGCCCAGACAGATGCCTAGCATGAGGATTTGTTGAGGATGTCTCGAGCGAGACGCTTGGTTTCACGTGTCGAGGTCGGCCAGGCTGATGTCTAGCATGAGGATGTGTTGAGGAAGTCTCGATCGAGATGCTTGTTTGCACGTGTCCAGGTTGCCCAAGCGGATGCCTAGCATGATAATGTGTTCATAATGTCTCGAGAGATACGCTTGTTTTCACGTGTCCAGGTCGCCCAGGCGGATGTCTAATCTGAAGATGTGTTGAGGATGTCTCGAAAGAGACGTTTGCTTTCACGTGAACAGGTCGCCCAGGCTGATGTCTGGAATGAGGAGGTGTTGACAACGTCTTGAGCGAAACGCTTGGTTTCACGTGCCCAGGTCACCCAGGCGGACGTCTCACATGAAGATGTGTTGAGGATGTCTCGAGCGAACCACTTGCGTTCACGTGTCCAGTTCGCCCAGGCGGATGTCTAGCATGAGAATGTGTTGAGGATGTGTTGAGCGAAACGCTTGTTTTCACGTGTCCAGGTCGCTCAGGCGGATGTCTAGCATGAGGATGTTGACAGGATGTCTCGAGCGAAACGCTTGTCCCCAGCACGTTCCGTAGCGCGTCCCCTCGACACGTCCCGCGGTGCGACCCCATGGCACGTCCCCTGGCACGTCGCTTGGCGCGTCCCTTGAGACGATCCGCGGCGCGTCCTCCTGGCATGTCCCCCTGTCAATTAGCTCTGGGGCAGCTACTATGTGATCAGGCAGCTCGAGATTAAGATCCAGATCAGTTGGGTGAGGACTCGGATGCAAAGGAGGACTCGATCTACAACGCTATAGAGCACAATCGCAGCATGACACATCGCAATTCAGCACGGTGCAGCACAGCACAGATTTCAGCACGATACATCAAGATCGATACACTCAGCATTGCAACCTGGCACGTTCCTTGGCACGTTCCGTGGGGCGTCCCTCGGCGAGTCCCTCTGGCACGTCGCGTGGCGCGTCCCCTGGCGCATCCCGTGGCACATCCCTTGGCACGTTCCGTAGCGCGTCCCCTCGACACGTCCCGCGGTGCGACCCCCTGGCACGTCCCCTGGCTCGTCGCTTGGCGCGTCCCTTGGGACGTTCCGCGGCGCGTCCTCCTGGCATGTCCCCTTGTCAATTGGCTCTGGGGCAGCTACTATCTGTTCAGGCAGCTCGAGCTTAAGATCCAGATCAGTTCGGTCAGAACTCGGATGCAAAGGAGGACTCGATCCACGACGCTATAGAGCACAATCGCGGCATGGCACATCTCAAGTCAGCACGGTGCAGCACAGCACAGCCCTCGGCAGGGTGCATCAAGATCGATACACAGCATTTGATTTGCCCGTCACACAATCAGGTGTCTTTGAAAACGTTGCCATGCGTTGCATTTCTAAATTCCTTCCCGGGTTCGTGGGTCGATCATGTTAATGATGGCCCCGTCAGGCCAACCCGAGTCCCTTTGACCCGAGTCTTACGACTCCCCGACCTTTGTCTCACGTCTCCGACACGCGTCGGCCTAATTGTCGAAGCCATGTGTTCGCTCTTTGTCCTCGGCTCAGTACCAGTACAGTTCGGCAACTTGACTCGGTTGATCTCGACTCGCGTCGTGACGCCCAGCAGGCATGTCGCGGCCATCATATTGCCACGACTCCTGCTCGACGGGCTGACGGACGGGTTGTCGGCCGCGTCTCATCATGATTGTTCTGCTTGTGGTTGGTACCACATGTGGGCACACCTATACAGAAAAATACGTATCTTCAGATTGACATGTTGGCAATATCTATATCTATAATATATATATATATAGATAATGTAGATTGTATGTGCCTGCGCACGTATGCGTATGTTCATATAATTTTATATGTATACACAGGTGGTTGGTTTTATATCTACACACAGGTATATGCATACACACGCGCTCAACTGCATGTGTATATATATGCATATGGGGGAAACGCGGAGGAGAAGCTGCAGTAAGGATGACAGGGGGGAGGGAAGGATGTGGATGAGGAAGAGAGCTTGGCAAGGGCTTCCAGTACACATGTGCGGACGAGCTCGTGGCGCACAGAGGGGCGGCGAGCGCTCCCGCGGCGCCGGCCAGGCACCGGGAGGCCGAGGGCGACCGCCACTCCTGAGGGCCGAAGGCGAGGGGGGCGCCCCGGCCTTCGAGCGCCAGCGCTCCTCCCGCTTCATTACAGGGGCCACGATAGGGGGGGATAGGCATAGGGGGGGATGCATCGAGCCTCAATCGCCCATTGATCGCCGATCGGGGGGGCCCGATAGCCCGAGCCTGCCCAGGGAGGTGCGGATTATTTACGATCGGAGGCCCATCGCCGGTCTATCGGCGATGTATCGCCGATTCCAGGTCGATGCATCCCCCCCTTCTGCCAGTCCCCCCCCTACCGTTGGCCCTCATTCATGTCGCCGTGAGCCAAAGGGGTCCTGAGGGCAACGGGTCTCGTGATTTGTGTCGGTGTGTGATCGTTCTTGTTACTCCTCGTTTTGCCGATCGGCTCGGGCCCTCGCACCCCGCCCCCATGGAGTAGATCTTGGCTGTTTTTGGCGGCTGCTTCGAGCAGGTGGAGCCTCGCCCATACTGGACGCCCTGTTGCAAACAGTCGCAGTGAGCAGAGGTCCAGAGCCAGACTTCCCCCTCCCCCCCTTCCGCCCAATGTCGAAACGCCGATTTGTATATATATACATATGTATACAAAAAAAAACTAATAAAACAAACGCTCACTGTTCTCGGCTCCTCAGGCTCTGCCCGGCCCCCAGGACAGTCCACAAACGCTCTGGGACCCCCCCAGGGTGTCGGGGCCCCGGTTCCCTCGGGATGCCTTCGGTGCAGGCACGTATTCCGCCTGTCGACATTTCAGCTCACCAAGGATATGGTTGCTCCCCCCTGCGCGGTGCCAATCTCGCTTCCATCATGCGATTGGGGCGTCTCCTGCAGCTCTCGCGCCGTGTTGCTCTGCCGTCTGACAACATGCTCCTGCTAGGAGTGCGCCCTTGTACCCCCGAACACAAGAACGGCTGCCGCATGAGACCCCTCACAATGCACACAGGGGCCGTGGGGCTTCCTCACGATTTACGCACGAATCGCGCTCTTGCTTGGGGACGCCGTCCCCGCCCGCTTGAACGCCCCTCCCGCCCAATTCGTTCTTGCGCTTGGCTCCGCCGACTAAAAGAGATCAGCAAGAGCGCGAGAAGCGGGAGGGGGCGGGTGAGGAGGAAGTGGTGTACGAGGAGGACGAGCAGGATTCGTTGGAAGGGGCGAAGCTCGTCGAGGTGGTGCATTACGGGGAGGAGGGGAAGAGGGAAGGGACGAAGACACGGAAGAGAACGAAGAACATAATGGATAATGGTGAAGGGTAATCAGGATGCAGGCTCCAGGAAGGCAGCGGACTCTTAGAGGCGGGCTTGGGTCGTTGTGGAGACTTCCCAGGGGCCTCTTCGAAGCATGAGTTTGGCCGTTTGGAGCGTCTTGGAGGCATCAGTGGGTCTCTTGAGGGCCTTTGAGCGGGTTGGTGGCGGTCTGCGGAACTATCTTTAAGTCGGGCCTGTCCCTCTATGGGAGGAATATGCAAAACCAATGATTTTCAAAATCGTCCGGGGACGATGTTCTAGCATTTTTGATTATTCTGGAGTATTGTTAGGTGTATGTTTGATTTGTTGTCCAAAGTCCGCCTGTAGGGGGACACGCCCGACCTAAGACTATCTTTGGGGGAGTGGATGTCCATTCGGGCTCCTCTCTGGAGGGTCTGTCGGGGCCCTCTCGGGGGCGCCCAGGCCCTCTCGGGGTGGGTCTTCCTGGACGTCTTGTGGGGCCTCCTGGGCTGTCTTGGGGCGATGCTTGGGGCTTTTGGGCTGTCGCACGTGGCCGGAAGCCAGACAAATAGCGAGCACGCCAAGCAATGTTTGCATTTAGGGCCTCTTGGGCTGGCTTGGGGCCTCTTGGGCTGTCTTGGGGCCTCTTGGGCTGTCTTGGGGCCTCTTGGGGCCTCCTGGGCTGTCTTGGGGCGATGTGTTGGGGCTTCTTGGGCTGTCGTGCGCGGCCGGCAGCCAGAAACATGGCGAGAACGCGAAGCAATGCTTGCACTCGGGGCCTCTTGCTCGTGTTCGTTGGGTGACTGGACGCGTCGGCCGAGAACTGTCCGCAGTGCCGCTTCCTCGTGGGCGCTCGTGGGGGCCCCGTGCGCTGGGTGGCTCCGCGGCGGTTGCATCCTTCTGCGGCCCGTGCCGCCTCGTCGGCGCCCGTGGGCGCCCCGTGCGCTGGGTGGGTCCGCCGAGGCTGCGCCGCGCTGCCGCCCGTGCCGCCTCGTGGGCGCTCGCGGGCGCCCCGCGCGCTGAGCTCACGCCGCAGAGCTTGCACAGCGCAGCTTCAGCCACATGGCTTGCGCCGCATAGCTTACACCGCACATCGGGCCGGACGAAAGGGGGGGAATCGGGAAAGGGGGGGCTACGACATTTGCTGCACGCAGCCGGTTTCCGCCTCACCGAGGGGCCCATTCCTCGATACAGAGCCGCCTCCGGCGCCGGGAAAATCAGCTACTAGTACGTGAGTTGATTCTCAACCCCCCCATTTGCTGTCCCCCCCTTTCGC